CAGAGGTCAAGATAGGCTTATTCTAGGTAAAAAATGTACTATTCTGGTGAGTAATGTTGATAATGGGGAAGCTATGCACTTGTGAGAGCAGGAGGTATATGGGAAATCTCTGTACCTTCTTCTTAGTTTTATTGTAAACCTAAAACTTCTCTTAAAAAATTGTCTGAAAAATAAGGTTATACAGACCCTATAACAAGTGTATAGTATATAAATGCTTGCACTTTTTGGAAACTGTGAAATGACTGACACTGGGGTAATCTCACAGATGCAGTAATTAATATTGTGATTTCTGGAACTGGGCAAGCTTGTGTTCAAATTGATAATTTGCTTCAAAGTCCGTGAATTTAACTACTGCATTGTGTTATAATTGTGTAAAACTACTCTATTATTTATTTGCATTTGTGTTTTAGCCATGATCATTTGTTGTATTATACTTATAGGGCACCTGCATTTGGTTTTCTTTATTGCTATGTTTTCCTGAAACTGAAAATAGGAGATTTGTGTTATATTAAACCATGAGAACAGAAAATGATTTCTTTTGGGCTCATATTTTTGGTTATACCTAGAAGTGTATGTTATATGGTTATTACCCACAAATAAAGGGATAAAAAGAAAAAATATATATCACATATAATCTTCTTTCTCTCTATTATTATAAAATAATCCAGATTTATGGAAAATATTTTAATTTTTTATAAATCTATATAAACTTGATCCTTGGTTTTAGAGATTAAAGTTAAGAAATTTCCTAAAGTAAATGTTCAGGGCAAAATATTTATCCATTTTATCCAAAGTAGTATCCATTATGTTAAAACTAAGAGGGAAAACTATTGCTTGTATTATTTATACTTAGAGTAATACTAAGATACATATACTGATGATTTATTAATGATTTATTAAATTTTTAATGTAAATAATGGTTTAATTTAAGGCACAGACTGACTCTAGATCTGAACTGTATGAAGAATTCTTAAAGAGCAGTTTTCGGATTTTTTGTTTGTTTTTTGTGGGGAAGGCAATTAGGTTTATTTATTTATTTATTTTAACAGAAAGTACTGGGGATTGAACCCAGGACCTTGTGTATGCTAAGCAGGCATTCTACCACTGAGCTATACTCTCCCCCAAAAGCAGTTTTTTAAGAATATGAATAAGGAAAATAATAATTCTAACTGGGGTAAAATATTATTTCACAGGGAGAAGGCTTTGTCCTGAAACTTAAACCATGTGTATAATTTTAGAGTGGGGACAGTAATGTCATTCCAGGAATGGGTCATTATCAGGAGAGGTAAGACTGGGAGAAAGTCGTGGAGAATTAAGGGTCCATGTCACTGGTGTGATGGGAGAAAGTATGACAGGGTGGGAAACTTTTGTGAATCAAGACAGACCACAAATTGGTATTAAAATCTGAAGGGCACTGAATATGATGCTCAGAGTTTCACAACAGGTAATTAATAATGAAGTAGTTTTTAACCCAGACAACAACACTACTGTATCTGTGCTTCCATGAGTTACCAGTATTCATTTCAAGATTTTGAGACAAAATTGAGAGCAGTGGATAACATTTTTATTAATTTAAATAAGCAGACATGAATGTATGCCCATGAAAAGAAAAGCAAAATATTCATAAGAGCCCTTCAGAGCTCTTTCAGAGGTAGGATTTATGGATTTGTTCACAGTGTGCCATGAGGTTTAGAGATGTAGGAAAATCAAAAATTGTTATATAAGTTTATTTCTGCTTTATTGGTATGTTGATATCATTAACTAGGAGAAATATCAGAAAAGAAGAAGCAAGTTTTAGTAAAAAGATAAAAAAGAATCTGTTTGGGATAAAATTGTATTTTGAAAAGAGATGAGACTTTGGGGTCATCCTCAAACACTTTATAGCTCCTAAGATGGGTATGGATAAAATTGACCCAAGAGGGATGAGAGAACAGTGAAAGGATAAGAGGCTTATACTTTAAACTTTGAGAAGAACTTATACTTAAAGTATTCCTATTAGCTTTTAAAGGAAGAACTCAGTCACTGCAGACAAAGGTTAAAATCAAATGCTGATCAGATTAAGAGAAGAACCAGAAAAATGAAGTATAATGAAAACAAAATTAAAATGTAAATAATCTTCACGTAGGAGGAATTTTATGGTCAAATGCTGAAGAACAATCTAGTGTTACAAAATTCTACCCACCTGAAGGAAACTTGATGAAAGATTTGACTTGATTTTAAAAGAAAATTCAGTGGTATATATGTTAAATTAAAATGCTATATATTATTTCCTATCATCAGTATTAGAAGTTCTTTGCATTACTGATATTTTATTTAATTTGTTTATTTCTTTATCTTTGATATTATAATCTCACACCCTCAAAGCTCATTCATTCTTTACTCAGCAATACAAAATTTCTGCAAGTGCATCTGCAGGAAATATGCTTAAAAAAAGAATAGAATCTCTGTGAAGTCTAAATGTCATTCTTCCATTTCCAAGTACAAAACTCAGGAAATAAAAAGTAGTCACATTTTAAAAACAAATATAAAACTTCACTATGTTTCTTTTTGAGAAATTATCCCCTTTATTATTAGTTTTCTTTCTGGTAATGCAATCAAGATTGTTTCAGCATGTGTTTGAAATCATGCTAACCAAAGAAAACTGGTGTTAATTATTTTATAAATTTTAATTATTTGTCATTTGTATTTAACCTCTTAGATACAAATTCACTAAGGTAAGTGTTTTATTATACTTCGGAAACATGGAAGAAATGTAAATTATTTATGAAGATTTATTCATCTTGATATATTTTTTTAAATGTATGAAAGGTACTTTGAATTGTGTGAAAACTTGATTTTCACCATCTGCTTTGCTGTTTCTTATGTTGTATTTTGTGGTTTATAATAACTAGAGGAGTATTTTTAATAAGCAAAATATTATTTTCAGTAAGAAAAAAGCACATATTCACTCTGAAATTACTTTTGAAAATGTTTTTTGATTGTTAGATTCTTTGATGAAGGCAAATGGGATTGAATGGAAAGAAAGAAAAGCAAAACTAAAAAAAAAAAAAAAAACTTGAAGCTTTTCTATAAATTCCCTGGATTAGCTGCTTAATCCCAATCTACTATGACTAACGAGAGTCTTCTAGAATCCTGCATTGTGCTAGGAGTCTGATTCAGCACAATGGCTGAGCTTAGCTGCGTAGAGTCTGGGTAAAGGGTATATGAGACCTCTTTGTATCACTTCTCACAACTGCATGTGAATCTACAGTAATCCCAAAATGCAAATGTTGAGCTTTTAAAACAGTGATAATTTGCTAATTAAGCTAATTAAGAGAGATTCCATTCAAGGAATGGGTTTCTAGGAACTAAGTTTGGATTATGGAAGATTCTTTTGGGCTTGAGGTGATATAACATGCCCATTTATATATGAACTCTTGTGGCATGGTAAATATTTTTCTCTTATAGGGGTTTAGATATTGAGTCAAATAATGTGATTGTTGTAAGAACTGTGCATAAAAATTATTATAAGAGCACATATGAAGAAAGTCAGAATTTTCTTTTTTTTCTGGCATGGAGGTGGGGCAGGGATCACAAACTAAATTTGAAAAATAAATATTCTACAATAGGAAAGGAAGGAAATACTTTCCCCTAAGATTAACAATGTAGAAAGTCAATTGCATGTCTAAATGTCAATTTTGGTTTTGAAAATTAATGACTTGTTTTTGGACATTTGAGTGCCATACATTATTAAAGGTAGAGCATTTTCACTATGAAAGATAGCACCTTGTGGAAGTCATGGGATAGACCTCCGTGACAGGCAGGGTTGTTCAGACTGCTAGTTTTTGAGTATGTGATCTTGGATATGTAATTTAACCTCACTAAATCTCAATTTCATAGAGACAAGATCACATCCCTGACAAGG